ATTTTTGTAAAAAAGATGTTTATATAGAGGCATAGAAAACTAGGATGAATATACAAGATGGTTATTTTTATTTTCTTCTAGTGGCTCATCAGCATTTTCTCATTTTTTCCGTAAGAAATACATAATACTTATATAGATGTTTTTATAAAGATGAATGAGTGCCGGGTATGGTGGCTCACACCTGTAATCCCAGCACGTTGGGAGGCCAAAGTGGGAGGATCACCTGAGGTCAGGAGTTCAAGACCAGGCTGGCCAACATGACGAAATCCCATCTCTACTAAAAATACAAAAATTAGCCAGGTGTGGTGATGCATGCCTGCAGTCCCAGCTACTCAGGAGGCTGAGGCACAAGACTCACTTGACCCGAGCAGAGATATTGTGCCACTGCACTCCAGCCTAGGCAACAAAGCAAGACTCAGTCTCCAAAAAAAAAAAAAAAAAAAAAAAAAGGGAGAGAGAAATGAGTTTAATATTGGGAGAAAAAGAATAATGGAATAATTTTTAAGAATCGCAAAAGAACAGAAGTGGGATGGAGTTGATCCTGCTAGGCAAAGAAATTGGGGTGTTCTGGAAGACAAGTGGTCTCCTCAAGCTAGAAGGATTTAATTTGGTAAATCACCAATCCAAAGAACAATATAGTAGCTTTAAAAACTAAAAGTACCAATGAACCTTTGAGAATATTTAACTTGGTTCCAAATTTATTGACCTACTAGAATCTTAATCAAGAGGTAAAATTTTAAAGGAACTATGTTAAAAGGGTTAGTCTAATGTACCTGCCAAAAGAAATAGTGAGACCAAGGAACATGTCAAACTTTTTCTTAGAATGAGAAAAGTACTATCATTGTTTTATTTCAGAGCATTATTACTTAGAAAGCAAGATTTTTTTTTTTTTTAAATTTGAGACAGAGTCTCACTCTGTCACCCAGACTGGAGTGCGATGGCGCAATCTCGGCTTACAACAACCTCTGCCTCCCAGGTTCAAGCAATTCTCCTGCCTCAGCCTCTCAAGTAGCTGGGATTACAGGTGTCTGCCACCACTCCCGGCTAATTTTGTATTTTTAGTAGAGACGGCATTTCACTATGTTAGCCAGGCTGGTTTCGAACTCCTGAATTCAAGTGGTCCACCTGCCTCATGAGGCCTCCCAAAGTGCCGGGATTACAGGCATGAGCCACCGTGCCCGGTGAAAGCAAGACTCTTAAAAATAAGCTATTACAGGCCAGATGTGGTGGCTCATGCCTATAATCCCAGCACTTTGCAAAGCTAAGGCAGCAGGATCCCTTGAGTCTAGGAGTTTGAGACCAGCCTGGGCAACAAAGTGAGGCCTCCTCGCTACAAAAAATAAAGAAATTAGCTGGGCATGGTGGCATTTGCCTGTGGTCCCAGCTACACAGGAGGCTGAGGCAAGAGAATCACTTGAGCCCAGGAGGTCAAGGCTGCAGTGAACTGTAGTCACGTCATCGCACTCTAGCCTGTGTGACAGAGCGAGACCCTGTCTCAAAAAATAAATAAACAAAAAATCTGCTGGGCACAGTGGCTCATGTCTGTAATCCCAGCACTTTGGGAGGCCAATGTGGGCAGATCACTTGAGGCCAGGAGTTTGAGGCCAGTCTGGCCAACATGGTGAAATCCCATCTCTACTAAAAACATAAAAATTAGCCAGGCATGGTGGCACATGCCTGTAATCCCAACTACTCAGGGGGCTGAGGCACGAGAATCACTTGAACCTGGGAGGCAGAGGTTGCAGTGAGCCAAGATTGCACCATTGTACTCCAGACTGGGCAACAGAGAGACTATCTCAAAAACAAACAAACAAACAAACAATTATGCTAACATATAGCTCAGCACAGTTGTTTAACAAATGTTTTTAATCTAAATACGGAATGTTTAATTAGAAAAGTTTTTAATCAATAATTTTAGAAATTTTTAAAAATAATTTCTAACAACTGAGGATCAATTCTCCTATAAAAGCATATTTATTTAAGGTTATCAGTGAAAACCAATACTGAAAAGCTACAATGAATCATAACTTAGAAGGAAAAGGGAAACACTATATCCAGATGAATTTAATGAATTAGACTTTTAGCTACGGTATACCTAAAAATGCGATACTTCTTACCTTTTAAACTGACAAGGGCTTTTGCTGAAGAACCTGAAATTAAAAATAAAACAAATCAGTAATTATTTCATAACCAAAGTAAGAGAAAAAGACTTTGGTTTGGGGGTAAAAGTGATCCATTTAGTTTTAGTAATACTGAGTTTGAAGAGATGGTGGAATGTGCAATTAGAAATATCTAGCATACCATTCAAACTATAAACCAGAACTCAGATAAAGAAAGAACTGGAGAGAGACATATGAGAGTCTTGCTGAAGTTGTGAGAACTGGAGACCATTCCAGGAGAAGAAAATGAAGAAGGAGAAGAAAGAGCAAGAGTGGGGACAGAGGTAATTTTGGATCCTCATCCAGGTGTGCTGTGGTGCTGGAAGAAAAGAGAAAGGGAACTGACATCTACTGAGGCAAAGACTGACGTGGTAATGGAGTGGGAAAAACAGACAATGGAAATGATTCAAGGACTGTCATAGCAAGCGAAAGTCTAGAATGCAGGTATATGCAATACTTCCAGATTTAAGCTGGAAAAGGGAATACAGAACGGCCAAGAGGGGCTAAAGTTGGAGGGGTCCACTGGATAAAACAAACTCTACTGTACATTAGAGGCCAGGTGTGATGGCTAACAACTGTAATCCCAGTGCTTTGGAAGACCAAGGTGGGAAGGATCGCCTGAGGCCAGGAGTCTGAGACCAGCCTGGGCAACATAGGGAGATCCTATCTCTAAAAAAAAATTTTAATTCACTAGGTATGGTGGCACGTGCCTCCAGTCTCAGCTACTCAGGAGGCTGATGTGAGAAGCTTGCTGGAGCCTGGGAGGTTGAGGCTGCAGTGAGCTGTGACCGCACCACTGCACTTCAGCCTGACAGACAGAGTAAGACTCCGCCTCAAAAAAATAAAAAAGAAATTAGAATAACAAGGAAGCTCCTCATACACGCAGAATCTAGACTCAATCTATATTATTAATAAACAACAGGGGATTCTGTTGCAGGTAACCCACTTTGAGAAACATCAGGCCACAGGTTCTGGTGTGAATGAATGATAGGATCTATGGGTAGGGAAAGTAGCAACCATTCACTCACTGAATATGTAGAGTGCTGATGGCATGCCAGTCCCTACCTGCTCTAGGCAATGGGAATACAACAGCAAGCAAAACAGTCAAAGTCCCTGCTCTCATGGAATGTACATTCTAGTGATGGGAGACAAACAAAAACAGCTATCGAGTCATGAAAAGTCAATAGAGAAAGAAGCTTTTTGAGAGCAAGAAAGCACTAAATTAAAAAATCTCAGAACTGGATGTATACATTGCAAAGTCCAAGTCATCTGAAAAATAATAATTAAGGATGATCTCAGGGGATTAAAAAAAAAAGAACATGAACTAGGAACAAAAATCAGAGAGGACAGATTAATCCTCTTTGCTATTTAACAAAAGCAGCCGTGATTTACATCTCCTATAAATGGGTAACAGACTTAAAATGAGAAGCAACAGATAAAGTATGGCAGTTATGAAACACTTCATCTCAGATCCTTAAACACTATGCATCTCTGATCACTAAACTTCAACTGATTTGTTCCTCCACAGGTCAGTATAAGAGACCTGTAAAACAGACACCTATTAGCATTAAAGACACTTATTTTCACTCTACTCTCTTGCCTAGATGTGAAGAATAGTTAACAGGACACCATAACAGCTTCCGTATGGCAAATGAAGCTTAACGACAAAAGGCAATAAAGTCATGGGGGTGAATGACATAAAATCTCGCTAAAAAGTCTCAAACAATGCAACACAACTGTAAAGCAGCAACAGTAGATAATACACACATCTGTTTACCAACAGATATGTAGTGCATTTGAGAAAAAGTAGTAACCATTCACTCACTGAATATGTAGAGTGCTGATGGCATGCCAGTCCCTACCTGCTCTAGGCAATGGGAATACAACAGCAAGCAAAACAGTCAAAGTCCCTGCTCTCATGGAATGTACATTCTAGTGATGGGAGACAAACAAAAACAGCTATCGAGTCATGATAAGCACTCTGGAAAAAATAAAGCAGAAGAATATGCAGGGTTGGAATGGGGGGGAAGGAAAACTATTTGTATATAAGGTGTTCATGATTAGCTTCTATGAAAGGTGATGTTTAACCAGAGAGCTGAAGAGGTATAGGCCACAAGAATATCCATTCCTGCTCCATGAAGGCAGGAACCGTATCCTGGGGATTCTGACCAATCACCTTGAACCTTTTTTCCTTTTCCTTTTTTTTTTTTTTTGAGATGGAGTCTCACTCTGTCACCCAGGTTGGAGTGCGGTGGCGTAATCTCAGCTCACTGCAACCTCCACCTCCCAGGTTCAAGCAATTCTCCCTGCCTCAGTCTTCCAGGTAGCTAGGATTACAGGTGCATGCCACCATATGCAGCTAATTTTTGTATATTTAGTAGAGAAAGGGTTTCGCCATGTTGGCCAGGCTGGTCTCGAACTCCTGACCTCAGGTGATCCACCCAGTTTGGCCTCCCAAAGTGCTGGGATTACAGGCGGGAGCCACCGCAACCGGCCCTTTTTTCCTTTTTCTAGATGCAGGATAGCATAGTGGTTAAGAAAACAGGTTCTAGATTGAGACTAGCTATGTTTGAATCTTGGTCCTGACACTTTCTTGCATGTTACCTTAAGCAAGTTACTTTGCCTCTCTGTGCTATTGTTTCTTCATGTGTAAAATGAAGATTAAATGAGTTAATACGTGTAAAAGTGCATAGAACAACTAATATATTACAGTTAATTTTGATATAATGCCGTATTATTTTAAGCAATCAAAAAATAGGTTAAGAACACGGATTTTTCAGTCAGGTGAATCTGATTAAATTAGAATCTTGCTCTAACAAGGTGTTCATTAATCCAAATTCTACCCTTCGTAGTTCATAAGCATGATGATTGGGTTTTCATACTCATGTGTGAGATGTGTCTCTCAAACTTTGTGAAAAGTCAGCACATGACCCATCTGATGTGGAAAAAACATTTTATTGAATGCCTACCATAAGCACTGTTAGGGGCTAGGGTTACCCCAAAGAACAAGACAAACAAAGCCTCTGCTCTCAGGAAGCTTAAACTCTAGTAGAAAGACATATATATAATAAACAAGTACATAATAATTATAGTTCATGAAAAAGGAAATAAACAGGGTGATATTGGTGGGGAGGGGGGAATTACTCTAAGTACGAACTAATTTACTTTTTTTTTTTTTTTGAGACGGAGTCTCGCTCTGTCGCCCAGGCTGCAGTGCGGTGGCGCAATCTCCACTCACTGCAAGCTCTGCCTCCCGAGTTCACGCCATTCTCCTGCCTCAGCCTCCCATGTGGCTGGGACTACAGACGCCCGCCACCGCGCCCGGCTAATTTTTGTATTTTTAGTAGAGACGGGGTTTCACCGTGTTAGTCAGGATGGTCTCGATCTCCTGACCTCGTGATCCGCCCATCTCGGCCTCCCAAAGTGCTGGGATTACAGGCGTGAGCCATCGCGCCCGGCCTACTTTACTTTTGAGTACAAATGGTTTCTCTGAGGAGGTAACATCTAAAAAACTAGCTGTGACAGAGGAGGAAATCAAAGCTATGAGTCTGGGCAGAACAAACAGGTTAAGTATTAAGAAGGGAGGAGGGGTGACTGTGCTTGCATAGGGAAGAATGGTATGAAAGGTCAGAGGTAAGCCAGGTGTTATGCATGGAACTGGGAATGCAATTAGGGAGACAGAAACAATACCTGCTCTGATGGGGCTACTAACCAATCACATAAACAAATACAAAACTGCAACTGTTAATAGCTGTCACTAGGAAGTTACATAGCAATACAAAAAGATTTAAAGAAAATGGGCCCTGGCCTGGCACAGTGGCTCACACCTGTAATCCCAGCACTTTGCGGGGGCCAAATGACTTGAGGTCAAGAGTTCGAGACCAGTTAGGTTCCACTAAAAATACAAAAATTAGCCGGGCTTGGTGGTACACACCTGTAATCACAGCTACTCAGGAGGCTGAGGCAGGAGAATCGCTTGAACTCTGGAGGTGGAGGTTGCAGTGAGCCAAGACTGCACCGCTGCACTCCAGCCTGGGTGACAGAGCAAGATTCCATCTTTAAAAAAAAATTAAAGAAGATAGGCCCTGCATGGTGGCTGAAGCCTGTAATCCCAGCACTTTGAAAGGCTAAGGCAGGAGGATAGTTGAGGCCAGGAGTTTGAGACCAGTCTGAGCAACATAGGGAGACCTCCTCTCCACAAAAAATAGAAAAACAAAAACAAAAACCTTGTTGGGAATGGTGGTACATGCCGGTGGTCCCAGCTACTGGGAAGACTGATGCCGGAGGATCTCCTGAGCCCAGAAGATCAAGGCTGCAGTGAGCCATGATCATGCCTCTGCACTCAAGTCTACACAACAGACAGAGACCCTGTCTCTTTAAAAAACAAAAAACAGATTTAAAGAAGACATAATTTAGTCAGGGAGGATGGGAAATGGCTCTCTGAAGAAGCATAAAAGGGGATCTAAAAGATAATTACAAGTTAACTGAAAGTAAGGGGGGTGTGAGGGGTTAGCATTCCAGGTTGAGAGAACAGCATGTGCAAAGACCCTGGAGAAAAGGGGAGACTGGTGAGTATAGGGAATGAAAAAGGTCCAATTTAACCCAAAGGGATAGAATGAGGGGACAAGTGGTACGACATAAAGCCAGACCACAAAGGGTCTTACAGCTACTGAAGGGTTTCTAACAGGAGGATGTCATATATTCATTTTGAAAGGATCCCACTCGCTTTCTGTTTGTGGGAAGGGGGCTGAATTAATGAGAGGCTGAGGTAATTGGTAAAGAGAAGAAATAGTGACAGTTTGGGCTATGGTGATGGTAGGAAATGGGTAGAATTGATAGATATTTAGAAGGTAAAATGTACAGACTTAGTAAAGGCTTAAACAGGGGAAGTGAAAGAGAGGAAAGTGGCCAGGGGCGTGGTGGCTCACACCTGTAATCCCAGCACTTTGGGAGGCTGAGGCGGGTGGATCACCTGAAGTCAGGAGTTCGAGACCAGCCTAGCCATGGTGAAACCCCGCCTCTACTAACAATACAAAAATTAGCCAGGTGTGGTGGTGGGCGCCTGTAAACTCAGCTACCCAGGAGGCTGAGGCAGGAGAATTGATAGAACCCGGGAGGCAAAGGCTGCAGTGAGCTGAGATCACACCACTGCACTCCAGCCTAGGTGACAGAGCAAGACCCTGTCTCACGAAAAAAAGAAAAAAGAAAAGAAAAGAGAGAGAGGGAAGTGCCAAAGAAAATCTCTAGGTTTCTGCCCTGCCAGCTGAATGCACAGTGGAATCATTCGAATCACTAGAAGTATCTGTCATGGGGTAAGACTGAGGTGGATTTTAAACTCGTGCAGTACGAGGGGCCTTTGAAGCATCTAAGAAGAAATGTGAAATAGGCAAGAGATATCAAGAAAGGGAGCTCAGGAAAGATCTGGGCTGAAGATAGCCTTAGTTTCCTCATATAAAATGTGAGTACTTACGTCAATTGAAATGAAGATTAAATGAGCAAATACATATAATATCCTTTGCATGGCATCTGGTTCATAGTAAATACTCAATAAATGGTAGCTTTGATTATTGATAATGTTATATCGACTGCTGAATAATATATTAGCTAGACTCCTTGACTAAATGTGGCCAAAAAACATACTGTTATTTCCAGTATCAAATTGAAATCGCTTTTCCTTTTCAAGACCCTGCTCCAGTTTCATTAACAATACCTGTTACTTTGCATTAATTCCATATAAATTAAGTATTTATGTATACTTGATTTGTGGCATTGTATAACAAAGAAAGAAAATCCCTGGTTTCAACAAAGCTGAAGTCTGGTTAAACAAGACATACATACAAATACACACCAATGTACCAGAGATGTCACAAAGTAATATAAATGATTAGGTTATATTAATTTGAAAGTGGTGCTGGAATTTGAACCCTAATATAAATCCCAAGTCCCTACAAAGAACCACAGTAAATTCTCAATAAATGTTGGATGATATGAAGCAAATATTCCCAATGGCAGTTGTAAGAAAACCACTTAAAACGCCTCTCATTACAAAAGAATGACTGCAGTAACCAAAATAGGAGCTCTAGTGATTGTGACATCCAAGAGGTGATAAGACATCTTTATGATAAAGATACCAAGGATGACGAAAAACATTTTCGGATGACAAGTACACTGTGCTTAGTAGGTCCACACTCATTTGGGAGCATTCAAAGTCACAATCAAGGCCAGCCGCGGTGGCTCATACCTGTAACCCCAGCACATTAGAAGGCTGAGGTGGGCGGATCACCTGAGGTCAGGAATTCGAGACCAGCCTGACCAACATGTAGAAACCCCGTCTCTACTAAAAATACAAAAAAATCAGGCGGGCGTGGTGGCTCATGCCTGTAACCCCAGCTACTCGGGAGGCTGAGGTAGGAGAATCGCTTGAACCCGGGAGGCAGAGGTTTCAGTGAGCCGAGATAGCGCCATTGAACCCCAGCCTGGGCAATAAGAGTGAAACTCCATCTCAAAATAAATAAATAAATAAATAAAATAAATCACAATCAATTGTATTCTACAAATAAACAATACAACTCATGACTGGTCAATAGCTGTTCCCTATCCAATACAGTGGCTACTAGCTACATGTGACTATATAAATAAAATTCAAAATTCAGTTCCTCCATCACTCTAGCCACATTTGAAATGTCCCGTATGGCTAGTAGCTTGGCTACCCTATTGGACATCACAAAAGAGAACAGTTCCATCACGGACAAAGTTCCTTTGGTACTTAGTGCTGCTCTCTATCAAATTTAAAACACAACACTTTCAATACGACTTTTCACCAGCTTGGCAACTTGAACTTTTATTTTAACTTTATAACTTATTAAGAATACATGACCTCACAAAGAAAATGGAATCGGTATGTTGAGTTCTCTTTTTCAAAGTCCATTTGCCTTGTGCATAGATAGATTCAATAGTGATTGAGCCTTTCACAAATATGTATAAACTGAATAGTGAATGTGGATTCAGGACTTTTTTGTAATTAACTAACATATTTGCCTTTTCATATAATTTATGCAATACTGTAAATTACAAAAGTAAGTTCCATTGCCCTTAAACTATGGAATTGGTGCTTTTACTTACTCAACACAAGTGAGTATACACGTCTTAGATGTCAGGGTGAGTAAACACGGATAGGTGAGGCAATGCCATAGGGTGGGTGTCAGGCAGGGTACTGCACATGTACGCTGTGTTGGTCACATCCATACATAAAGGTACCTTCATGGCTCTTAAGACACATATAGAATAAACTCTGCGGGACGGGGGCTACCTGAACACTGAGTATCCGGGCTGGATGATCTCAGGAAAGGTCCACAGCCACCTGTGGTCCCAGGGGAAGGGGCCAACCCTCTGACACGGAAACACTTCCAGGGGTGGACACACCGGTGGGGGGGCGGGGAGGACAGTGAAGATCACAAGTGCCCGTAGAGGCAGGAGCTGTGACAGGACAAGATCAGAAGCTGGGGCAAGAAGAAGGGGCCTTGGACCACACCGTGCCCAGCCCGAGCCCTCCCCCGGCCCCGGGACAGGCGAGTTACATAACCCCGGCGGGCGTCTCTCGGCGCCGGGCGAGTGGTGCAGGCGGCGAGGACAGCCCCCGCGCCCGGGGGCCGCTCTTCCCCCCACCTCGGCTGGGGGCCGGAGTCGGGCCAGGGGAGCAGCCACCGCCTCCGCCTGGCACAGGCTGGACTCCCGGGCTCTCGGTTTCCGGCCCTGGCGCTCACACAACCCCAGAAACCAACACACAGACACCATAACAAAGGCGGCGACGCGGCGGCAACACCGGAGTGGGAGGACTAGGGGACCACGGTGGGGCTGGCAGTCAGCCCACCTGCCCAGCGGAGGGCACGGCCGTCCGTCCCGGCCGGTGCAGCCGTGGGGCAGGCAGCAGGCGGGAAAAGG